CCTTCTTTTGACTGCCCCCTCCAGAACCTCCCTGCCCCTCTCCGACCCCCTGGCCCCCTTGTTGTTGGCCTTCGCCTAATGTCTCTGTGAACTTGCTCAGGAACTGCCTGAGCCGCTCGTCCCGGCACGCTGGGCAGCAGTGGAGGAGGAGCTCCAGACTGCCGGAGACGATCTGCGAATGCAGGGAGGGAGGGAGCTCTGCTGCAGAGGGGAGGAGGGGGAAGCGGAGGAGGGGGCTCTCTCTGGCTGTCGGAGCCCCATGTAAGTGGCACCATCCGGCCAGCTGCCCTGTTAGCCGCGCGCGCTCTGCATGGGGGGGGAAGTCCGGACATTTACAAATTCCCCCCGGACGCTATTTTTAGCTCAAAAAGCCGGACATGTCCGGGGGAATCCGGACGAATGGTAACCCTAGGTTAGTGAATTTGGCTCACTCCTTAACCTTTTCTGTCAGCTTCTATACCTGTACCAACCTGATGTCATCCCCTGTCTGATTCTCTATTTGCTCCCAGTCTTTATGACTACGTCACCAATAAAGCCCTATCAACTTGACCCTACCTATATCTCTGCTTTCATTTTCTTTTCTGCCCCCTCCTGCCCTACCTGCTCTTCTAAATTATTTGTGTTATGGTTCTTTTCACCTCATTTTCCCCATTCAGCTTTGTGCCCCTGCACCTTGAACCTGTCCTCATCCATCAAACCCCCATTTCTCTTCTTTCAAATCTCTCTGAAACCTGCCTCTCCAAACAGTCCCTCCTCCCTTCATCAATAATCCCACATCTTTTCCCCCTGAACAGCTGTCCTGTGTCTTACCTTGTGTTTGTTTGAGTTCTCTCTCTCTCTCTCTCTTTTGTTTTTTAACATTGCTAGCTCTTCAAGGCAGGGAAAGTGCCTTTTTCTGTATATGTAAAATGCTGTGCAAACCTAGGGGACTCTATAAAACAAAGTAATAAAAAGAATGTTGCTTTTATAAACAGAGTCAAGACACAGGCTTCTTATCCCCCAAGGGAATATTATTCAATAGATGGCCATTGTGGGTGACAGATGAAGCAAACACAGGGATTATCCCTGCTCAACTTCTACTTCCCCTTGTTCACATGCTCAAGGGAAAGACTACAAGAATTGCTGTTTAGGACACAGAATGGAGAGAATACCATTCGGGAGGATGTATATTCTACATCTCATGACTTGGCTGAACACCAGGCTGGGGAGTTTGTTATTTTGGATTATGTTATTTTATTATCAGTGCTAATCCTTGAGGAACAGACTTTGCTGACTGTGATCTTTTTGCTGAGTCATTCCACCAATTTACATTCAGCTAGAGACAGATTGTAAAGGTATTTACGACAATCATGGTCCAGACACCTCAGGGGGAAAACAAAGGGTCTGATTCCCAAAGAGTAAGCAGTTTAATCAAGTGATTGCATATGATATTACAGCACTATAAAAGTGTATTGACTAAGGTCTTTTATGAAAGCTGGTGACACATTGATGATTAATGTCATTGGAAAAGGTATGTATATGTGGAATTATGGATACTTACTGATATTATACTTTAAAGTCTGTGACCAAAGAAAGGGACAAACAGGTTTTCTCCCAGAAAGGAAGGAAGGCAGCTATATGCCGGTCTCCAATGTAAATTAAATAGCGTGGAATCAAAACAAAGTAGCCTTCCTGGCTCTTGAAAAAATAAACAATGAGCTTTGGGATGATACAAGGGGGGCAAAAAGACATTCGAGTTATCCATCACTTGAGGAACTAAAGAGGCCAGAGCTCTTGAAATCACAGAAGGATGGATCCTTCAGCCAAGGAGGTTGAAGACTGTGGGAACTGAGTATAGGTGAGAAAACTGCTTAAGCAAAGATTATAACTTGCTGAAATTAAGTTTTAGTCTTAGAAGTCTTTTACTTTTGTTGGTTTGCAGCCGTTTCTGTCCCAATTACTTCTACCTGGTATTGCTTAACTGTCTGTTCTTTAATAAAATGAATCTTGTTTTCCTGCACAACTCTCTCAGTGCAGTGTTTCAAACTGAAGAGTAAAATCCTTAGCCCAGCTAAAAAACTGGTGCTGTGTATTGTCTCTTTAAAGAAGCGGCAAACTTGATAAGGTTTTATAGTTGCTGGGGCTGAGCACTGCAGAGGAAAACAGTGTTGGGGTGAACTGGGAGGGCGTTGGTATCACCCTGCAAGGGGAAACTAGCTGGTGGAAGCCAGGGTGAGGTTATTGTGCTGTGAACATGCAGTTGGTGCCAAAGCTACACAGCACAGAAGAAACCAGGATTACAGGGCAGGTGGTGACAAAAACCCTTTAGTGGTCTGGGTTGGACCCCTGGAGCCTCCCAGTATTGTTGTCCCGTTTCAACCTGCTAGGCAAAGTTTAGAGCCCTGTGGATGTGCCAGCTGGGGATAGAAATTAGTGGTAGGTATTTCTTTGATGCAGTTTTGTTTCTTTACAAAGAATGTGTAAAGTCCTGTCTCTGAATACAGAGGGAATCAAATAGCAGGAAACAGCTGCTTTTGCTCACCAGCAGCACCAAGAGCAGCCTTTTCACCCTGCATCTCAATCCAAAAAACCTCTCCCCAGATTTCTTCCAGGGTCAGGCACATGCTTTCAGCTGCTCCTTCAGCCTGTCTCTCTCACTCAGGCCTGGTCTACACTACAGAGTTTTGTCGACAAACGTTGTAGACACTCAAAAAGCACTATAATAAAAATCGGTATTGCATGTTCACACTCACTCCGTCAGCAGAATGCGTCCACACTTGGGGTACTAGCATTGACAGTGTGAGTAGTGCACTGTGGGTACCTATCCCACAGTCCAGCTTGACACCTTCTGCCACTAGAGTCTTGTGGGAAGGCGGAGCAGATCGTGGCACATCTTGGGACCAGGCTCAACGTCCCATGATTCATTGCTTTCTGTCCCAGCATTCCATGGGCTTCCGGCTTTCTTTCACAGCATTTTTCAATGGCCCTTGTTTGCTATGCACCCCAGCATCTTTGTGAGAAGGGATGGATCCCGCACTGCTCTCCTATGCTCTAATAACTGTCATGATGACATTGCGGATGGCAGTGCAGTTAATTGCGAAATTCCTAACGGAAGAAGACTCCCAATTGCCTGACATGCTGTGTGACATGGATAGGAGCAACTTTAGATTGCTTTTGGCATTCACAGAACAGCTGCAGAGGGTGGACCATTGCTTTTGGGCTTGGGAAACAAGCACTGAATGGTGGGATCATATCGTCATGCAGGTGTGGGATGACAAGCAGTGGCTACAGAACTTTTGGATGCAAAAAGCCACCTTCCTGGAACTGTGTGCAGCGCTTGCCCCAGCACTGCAGCACAAGGACACCAGAACGAGAGCTGCCCTATCGGTAGAGAAGGGTGTGGCAATCGCTGTGTAGAAGCTGGCAACTCCAGACTGCTACTGGTCGGTCGCAAATCAATTTGGAGTTAGGAGGTTGACTGTTAGGGCTGTGTTAATGCAAGTGTGCAGGGCAATTAGTCACATCCTGCTATGAAGGACTATGACTCTGGGAAATGTGCGTGAAATAGTGGACAGCTTTGTATAAATGGGTTTCCCTAACTGGAGGGGTGATAGATGGCACACAATTTCCAATTTTGGCACTAGACCACCTTGCGACGGAGTACATCAATAGGAAGGGGTACTTCCCCAAGGTGTCGCAGGCACTTGTCTATCACCATGGGCGTTTTACTGACATCAACGTGGGGTGGTCTGGGAAGGTGCATGATGGAGAAAGCTACAAGCTGGGACTTCCAGACCAGAAGATTACAGTAGGGGATGTTGAAATGCCCATAGTGATCCTGGGAGACCCAGCGTACCCCTTACAGCCGTGGCTCATGAAACCTTACACAGGAAACCTGGACAGCAGTAAGGAGCGGTTCAACAACAGGCTGAGTAGGTGCTGGATGACTGTGGAATGTGCCTTTGGCAGTTGAAAGGCACCCTTGCGATACCTTTATGGCAAGTTAGGTAGATACCTAAGTAGATACCTTCAACGAGGATAAAATATTCCCATGGTCATAGCCTCATGTTGTATGTTGCATAATCTTTCTGAAGCTAAGGGTGAAAGGTTTGCTCAGGGGTGGAGTGTTGAGGCACACAGCTTGGCTGCTGATTTTGAGCAGCCAGATACCAGGGCTGTCAGAGGAGCCCAGAGGGGGGCAATTCGAATAAGGGAGGCTTTGAGGCAACACTTTGGAAATGAGAACTAGTAATGGATATCTCTGTGATTGGTGCTGCAATTTTACATTACAGGTAGTTTTCTTAGGAAGCAATGATGATATTTGGGGCCTTACATTTCCGTAAGCTAATGATTAAACTGCCTGTGCATGTACTGGTAGTGCCTGCTATCTCAATTTGTAGGAAACAGATAAAGATAAGTTACCATTCAAAAACTTTGCTTGTATTGCACAAGAACCCCCCCCCCCACACACACACACACGCTTGATGGGAAAGGAGGTACCGAGGGGAAGGGCAGACTTTCAG